ACGCTCTTCTTAATGCAGCCCAGGATTCCATTGGCCTTCTTGGCCACGAAATCAGGACATACAGGCAAGCTGAATTTCAAAACAGATTGACAGGGACACTTAACCATGGCAGTCACAAACATGGCATTTGTTGATCATACGAGCACAATTCTCTCTCTCCCAGAGAATCCTTGGCCCCTCTTGGATTTTAGGCTTTTGTTCTTTGAACCTAGTGTCTTCGTTCTGCTAACAACCTCTCTTCTAAATTCCCATGGTGTTTTGCTGCATTAATACCTTGGGTTTTTTTTTTTATATAATTCAACTAATACTTTTTTTTTTTCGTTCCAGATTCAGAGGGTGGTATTGTTGCTGGAGCATTAATTGGAGCAATTGTGGCAGGTGTTATCATTTGTGTTATTGTGTGGTTCTTAACCAGGAGGGAAAAGAGAAAGAAAAAGAAGTCATCAAGTAATGAAATGCAGTAAGAAGTTGTTCGCTTGATTTTAAGACATTAATTTCTGTAAAGCAATGATGATAAACCAGAACTAAGTTGAAATATATTTACTGTATATGTTTATGGCGGAATAAGTAACATGGGATTTGATAAAATTTTGAAAGACTATTTATGTGTGTGACTTAAACTGTAGCTCATGTAACAGAAGCTGCCATTGCCATTAGATTCATATTTACATGTAGTCACCACTTAGCAATATCTACAATAGCAAACAAATGATTTTCAAACACCATAATGAAAAGAGACAACTTAGAAAAAGCAGTATTTAACAGTTACTGTTAATGGCACACAGAGAAAGTAAAAAAGGGACTGCAGCTAAAGGCTCACTCAGCAGTTATACTGGGATTGCACATGACTGGATTTAAATACAGAGCCCTTGGTGAGTTCCGTACTATGAGAAACACTACATGGTGTCCAAGATTGAACCGGCAGATGTGACAAAAGACATGGGACATCTGTGCTCTTCTAAAGTGGCAGCTGGAAGACAGGTCTGATACCCTAAAATATCTCAAAAGGCAGGGGACGCCGAGGTTTAGGAAACAGAATGGAGCCAGAATGTCCACTGTGATCCTGCTCTGGCAAAGTGACCTCCTCCACGTTTTGTTTGCTTGCTTATCTTTTAAACTGCCACATCATCAGGACAGGGATAATCTTGTGTCTACATGCAGACTAGAGTTAGCCCCATGATGTTAATGACAAATTAATACATGCAGTTGAGGACAGAAAAGATATTACATCCTCTGGGACATTTCCCCACAGCTCAGGTCTAAGTCTTCCTGACATGGAATTCCGTTAATCCAAACCAGTGGCCAAACACTCATGTACCTGATTTCTGCATTGAACCGATGTAGCAACTGCTGCAGCAGCATTTTGATGCTCGGATCCTGACCAACCTTACCGCATTGAATTAATCTACTAGCATCTGATATTTTGTACATGTGAAACTATTTAAATACCAAGAGTTGATTTATTATTGCTTTGACAGGCTAAATAGAATTCATATCCATTCTAAAAATATTTTCCTAGATTTCAGTTATTTTTCATAGCTCTTTTCTCACTTCACTATATTATTTATATATTTGAATGGCATACCAGATCTGCAAGCAATTTCCCAGAAAGTTCAAGACCAGCATTTTGTTTTTTGAACAACTTCTCAACCACAGCCAATACAGTTTCCCATTCTGCTCCTGTAACCTTGCACTGAGGCATATCAAAATCTATTTTATTCTAGTGGGATCGGCTAACCTGATGATGCAGATCCATCTTGTTACTTAACACACTGTCAATCTGTGTCTTAGCAACTGTGATTTTATAGGCTGTGAGGGCTTTCAGGTACTAGAGTAAGAGAATCATAACAGAACAGGGGTTACCATTTAAGCAAAACCTTATTATAAAGACTAATTCTTTTGAAAGATTGTAGCATAGGTGGGATACCAACACATGAAATCACAATCCTCATCCTGTCTTCCTGCAGAGTAATGACTCAGAAACAACCCAATGCAGAGTACGCTCAGGTACCTACTGAAGAAAACATACCTGCAACCACAGTTCCACCAAGCAATGCGACAAATGAGTATCCTAATGTTGAGGAAACAGCAGCATCTGGGGCACCTGAAAACAATGAGAAGCAAGAAGTGGAAAAAGAGGAACTAGCCTAGAGTTTTAATACGTTTTTTCTTGTTGGCTTTGGGATTCCTTTATTAAAAAAAAAAAAAGTTACCGAATTAGCATAGCAGCATGACCAAAATTTAAACCTGCATTAGTACTGTGAACCACTGGGCAAGACATTGAAAAGAATCCACTACACATACACAGTTTATGAATAGCAAACATTCAATTAGCAAACCTTCACATTTAACCAATTTTCATTTGTTATTTAGTAATATAAAAATATAAGCCTAAAACCACTATCATCCCCACTTATCCAACCTATTTTGGCATACTTATAATATGGTTTGGACAAAGTAAGAGCTTTCCAATCAACTATTTGTGATGCTGTGTGTACCCATACACAGTTCTGAACCACAGCAACCTTCTCCAGACACAGGGCTGGCCAATGTCTTGTTCCCTGTGCAGCTACAGACACTTGACAATGCTCAAAGATCTGATCTTGCACTTCAGGAATCAATAGAAGTTTCATCAATGTGATCAGAAGATAGAAACAAATTTTGAGGCCTGGTCCAATGGAATCTCACATGTCTGAATTCCACTGGAAAAAAAAAATCCTGGAATCCTTTACTCTTTTGCTGCCTAACATGGGCTATACATTATTAACAGTGTCCCTCTTGGCTTTAAAGTTCCCAAGACACCAGAGCTCTAGAAGTGCAAGTTTCAGCTGTTTTCTCCAATTTAATGAAATCAGCAGTTGGATACCCACTTCGCATCCTGACTGACTGGTTTCCAGATATGGGAGCTGGAAACATAAATTCCTCACAAGTTTTCTGATAAAAGATATGCATAGTACCAGATTTCTCAGCAGGTACAACTGCTTTCAGAACTCACAAAGAAATATTGCTACTGCCTGCTGTAACACATTCGCTTATATTCTTCCCTTCCCTTTTGCTTGAGATAATTTACATCTATTCCCAGGGAACTGTCTTACTCACTACACAACTTGTGCTACACTTCATAAGCACGATAGTCCTGCAACTCTAACTAGGCTCAGTAGCAGAGGAAGCACAGCCTACTCCTGCTAGCCTGCCATTTCTTTTCAAAGGTGTTCCCTAATGAAGTAATTTGAGCTAATTATTGGGCCTGCCTGGTAGTGTTACTAATTTTGAGTAATTGCCGCTCTGACCCATCATGGAAAACACGTACAATTCTCTTCATAACACTGCTGTAGTTATTTCCTCTAAAACAAACTCCACATATAAATATATCTGAATTATATTTTTATGGCATTGACAGCTTTCCAATTTTGAGGCCCCTGTAACAGTATTATCTTGGATGAAGGGGGAGACAATATGTGGCCATCATCATCTTTAATCTCACTTCCAAAAATTTCTCTGCACGCATTCCTTACACAGCTTAGTAAGCTAAAGCCTGTGGCCCGTGAAGAAGTAGTTACCTTCTACACCTTATACAGTTCGTTTAGACATTCCTAGAATTAAAAAAAAAAAAAAAAAGAAAAAAAGAGGGAATTGCCAAAGCAATGTTAATGCTCCTACATAAAAGAAACAGAACTGAATGGCAGTGCGTGGCTAACAGTTCCTCCCGCACTTCCAGCCCCTATCTTGCAATAGATACTATAAAAAAAAAAAAAAACACAAAAAAGAAAAAAGAAAAAACCCCACCACACACTGCTGGTGGTGCAGAAAGTACAGAAAAGCCCAAATACAGTTACTTGAAGTTTCTTAACATCTGAGATATTTCTCTAAGTTTTCTGGCAGATGTTTGCTCTCATTATGAAGTTTCTCATGTAAAACAGTTTATTGTGATGAGGCCCTGTTCCTCACGTTTTACTGATCCTCCTTAGCAAGGCACAATAAAATTTGATATTGATCTATGATGTGTAGCTCAAAAACCCTGCAGGAATGTGCAAGATACAGAAGTGTTTTTCAGAATTTACCTCAGATGCTTTTACAGTCTTTGCTACACAAGCCCATTTACTTCCTCCTGAGGGAGTACAGATCATTAATATGGAAAGCAAACATTATGCCAACATTCAAGCCACCATCTCCATGGGAAGGAGATTTCCAAAGCTAGAAAGGATCAACACAGTATTCTGCCTTCAGCTTTTTTCAAGTCTTCAGCACTGCTTGCATAATATGTAAAAAAAAAATAGTAACAGTCATTCAAGTGCCTTTGAGCAACGTTTGCAAGGCCAGAGCTCAAAAGGCAAGTTTTTTCCCTGTTTTCAGGTATTCTCAGCAAAATTAAACCTGCATTTTGCTCTTTAGGATAGACTTAAAGCATTTGATTAAGATGTTTGTTTGAAGTTTGTCTCGCTTATTGAAGTAAATCACATTCATGCCTTTGTAGACAAGTCAGACTATAGAAACTGTCATCTGCTGTTTCAAACCTTCCTTGCAGCTGATGAATAAACATGTTTCTGTACAGTGTAATGGATGGCAGTTTTTCAGCAGACTTGCTCCTATCACAAACATAAGAGTTATTTAGAAAATACTGGTTTTGTTACATGTAAGTTTAATAAAGTTTTATAACACCAATGACTGTTTTGAAAAATGTTTTTATTCTACAGAATTTTATCTGCATTACCCATTTAAAGAAAGGGGAAAATATAGTCCATGAGTGCCCCAAGTGATCTCACCAAGATCAGAGCAACAGCTGAACTCACAAAAACAAAAAACAAAACAGAACAAACAAACAAAAACCCACAGAAATGCTTGGTATTGACCTTTCTTTATGTAGTAAGCACTTTCAGCTCTGTTGGTAAGTGTTAAAATGCTGAACTTAACACCCATTTTTAATAAAACACAAAAACAGATGCAGAACATAAAACACCTGCACACACACCAATTGGAAATCACTAGTACAGAAGCAAGAGGTGAATGCACAAGTGCTAAGTGCAGGAAAGCTTTCAAGATTGTGATTAAAAGCACTGTAAACGTTAACTCCACTAACCAGAGTTAGAAAAAATCATTTCTGGCAAATTATGTGCTAAGAACCTATGTATAAGGATGTTTACTTCCCATTTTATTCCCATGCACAAGTTTTGGGAGAGTTCTATGGGAAGTCATCTTACAACCCTGCTTTATTCCTTAAATCTCAGCTTTGCCTGATGCACCAACAGCAGGAAAACATTTTTGTCATTCTGGAAACAAGATGCTTACTCTTTTCTGCAGAAAATCATCTTCAGTTTCCTAACTACTTCAAGAAAACTCAGCTCTAGAGCTCAGGCTCTTCCTGTCCTCCCAAAAGCAAGATGACTTTTCCAGAGAAGAAGTTTCCCCACAGTTGTCTTGGCAACACTTACGGTGTCTCAGGATACTTAGGATACTTAAGAGGTGTTTCTTCCAACTATAGATTTTTAAAAGCATTAATAACATGGAAATTAATAGCATGAAAAATTCACAGGAAGATGATTAAAGAGGGGGCTTTGCTATGACTGCAGGTGTGAATTTCTCCTGTAACTGCTGCAAAAGTTTTGCTGTGCATTGCACAAATGTTACAACACTGAAACAAAGTTTTGACTAAGAGTCTGTCAGGTTAAGCCATGGGAAGATTATGGTAAAAGTCATAAAGGAAAGGAAAGTTTATAAATGAATCTAATTTTATATCAGTCAAAAACACTCTAATTTTCATAGCTTAATAGCAATATTTGGCTCAACTAAGGATTGACATAAGCTTCTGCTATTAAATAAAAAGGTAAATCATGTAGAAGTCTCAGTACTACACAACGGGAGTCAATTAGCAATGAACGAGGTATTTATAGAAAGAAAAACAAGAAGTAAAATAAAACGCAAAGCATATTCCTGAAAAGTTTCCAGAGCAAATGATTATGCAGCAGAATCTTTGCAGAGGTAACTACGGAACTAAATCTGCATTCTGCAGGCAGTCCACAGAGCTCCATTAAATGAATACACTTAAAGATTTGCAGAATCAAGGTAAGAACGGATAACAAGAGAAAAGCGTAAAGGACTCAGAGCTCAGTCCAGAAGACTGACAGGGGTAAAAGTAGGCACAGCTAGAAGTACCTGAGCAAACAGCGTATTATAAAGGGAGTAATTTAGAATCATGTGAAGGAAAGTAATCAGTACCTATAAAAACATAAGCAAATACAGGGGTTAAGGGAAAGCAAAGTCAACTCTAGAATAGGTTTCCCAAATAAAAACTAGTTTTAAGAGGTTAAAGCATTTTTGGTCCTGCTGCTCGACAGGCACAATCCTACATGAGGCTCTGAAAACAGAAGGAACAGCCTAATTTATACAGATCACACTGTAAATCAAAAAAACTGCAAGATACTGAAAAAGACTTTAAAAGCAGTACTTCTGTTAATTAAACAGGTCACAAGTGGCTGTTTGGGCAGCAAAGTTGAAGAAATCGAGGTACACGTTTTATTATCATGGCAATGCTCTTATATGACAGCATAATTGAACACTGAAAATACGAAGCTTCCAGTCTCAAGTGCAACAGGAAAGAGTCAAGTGAGAAGTCCCCACTAGCCTTCCACCATTCGCTTAAGTATGGCTCCCAGGCCACCTTTGGCCACTTTCAGTGGGGTCAGTTCTTCTTTATTCTCAATGTGAATACTTGCACCGTGAGACACCAGCAGCTTTGCCTCATCCACTCTTTCTTCATCGCAGGCTAAATGACTGCAATAATAAGAAGAAACCCACGACCACTATTAAATAGTCCACGTTTAAAAACAGCAATAATCATGCCTTGTCAAAATGACAGTATGAATGCTGGGGGTGAGGGGAGAAGATTTACGAAGCAACAAAACTGACATGCAACCAACTCTCTCCACAGATTTCCAAGTCTACTATCCAGTCAGTTTGTTCTTATTAAGTAACTCAAGAATATTTCTTATTCTGTTATCTTCACAAAATTAAAGCATTTATCTAGATTAGGATTTGCTCTGCAGTCAGCAAAGCTAAGGAGCAGTAAAAATCCACAGTGAAATTGGAAATGGTAATATCTGTGCGAATTAGAAAAGACGAACTAAATCAAATGATTTTCAACAGAAATATGAAATAAAGAATTACTAAAATATGTCAAACTTTTTTTTCCATTTGATATAGAATTTTGAGTACACTATGTGTTCTATAATATCAGTCTTAGGATTTTGCCACAAGATCAAACTGTATTTTAGATAAATATAGATTGCATTGTAAACAAGAAAGAGTTCTGTCACCAGTTTCAAAACACGTAAGATTCCATCCCCAAAGGTTCAAATCGATTTGTAACATGACAAGAAAAACTGCATGAACTGCATTTAAATTTCAACTTATTTTCCACAGAGAAATGAAGAAAAGCTTTCCGAACTAGTTCTTGCCTGACAAGATTGAACAGGCCAGCCTGCAAGCCCAAGTTCCTCCAATTTTGATCTTATTAGCATGTTTTCTATCCTCTGGTGGCAAATGAATGAACCCAAGTTATTATAAAGGGTGTTCTAAGTTTAATTAGATATGATAACACAAAATATGTATGCACACACACTTCTGCGAAACGAAGTACGATACCCCCAAATCCTTTTTAGCTATACAGGGATATGAAGCAATGGAGCGCTCTGAAGGAGACGAACATCAAAAAAAGCTTGGAAATGAAGTAATGATTGAACTAATGAAATTTTGGCTTCAGAGAGATTAAAAAGCAACCAAAATTGACACGAAGATAACTTACAGAGGAGTATTCCCTTCCGAGTCCTGTATATTAACAGATGCATTGTGCCGCAAAAGTATCTGTATCATTTTCAGGTTTCCTTTGGCTGCCGCTCTGTGTAGGGGAGTGGACTCAAAATGGTCTGTTGCATCTGGATTAGCTCCGTGCTCTAAAAGCATGATTGCAATCTGAACACACAGGAAGACAAAAGAGAGAGGAAAAGAATGGATGAAGGTTAACGTAGTCAAGGACTTCCTACAAGTGCTGCGCCAGCTCCGGGGGCGCGGGGACAGCCCTACCTCCTGCTTGTTTTTGGAGGCGGCGTAGTGCAGAGGCGTGCAGCCGTTCTGGTTGACAGCATTCACCTGCGCTCCCTTGTCGATGAGGGCTTTGACGATCTCATCCCGGCCCGCCGAGGCCGCAATATGCAGCGGGGTCCAGCCAGCCTGCAGGACACGCATTACCCAGAGAGAGGTTATCCCAAGAGAGATTATCCCCACCTGGAGTTTCAGGAGGAGAAGCACGAGGCCCCAACACCCTTCCCATGCGGACCGGCCCGCGCCCACGTCGCCGGTAACAATTAGCCACTCACGTCGTCCTTGTCGCCCACGGGCACGCCGAGTCCGAGCAGGAGGTCGGCGACGGCGCTGTGTCCGGCGGAGCAGGCCCAGTGCAGCGCGGTGCGACGGTCCTGCGCGGGAGAGTGCC